TTGCTGAGCCGTGTGGCAAAGCAAGCTATTTTGCATCCTGTTCCACCGTTTCAAGTGAAGCAGATCATTGGCAGTGTTGGGTTTACAGTGGGACTCGATGATCTTAAAGGTCTTTTCCAACCTAAATGATTCTATGATTCTATAGGTATTGCAGGTTGACGCAACCATTGACTTGAGGAAATTATCTCAAGGTTACGAAATTCATACCCTGCAACCCTTGTCATCTTCTAGATGTACTATCCTCCAGCTGCTTTACTCAATTAGAATAAATAGGAGCTTTCCACGTCTGAGACTCGACCGTCATGGCTACAAACAACAGTACATTAACCAATACTTCTTGCAGTTGCAAGCAAAGCTGCATTGACACCTTCCCAATAAAACAGTTTGGGTTTTTTTAACAAAATAAAATCTACATGTTATCATCAAACCCTTTCAGACATGGCACCAGAACATATTACTCTTCCAGTTACAATCACAGCAGTATCCACTAAGTTTTGCAGGTGGTAAGGTTTAATGTGACAAGGTGATAATGAACTAACTAGTGTTAAAGGGCAAATTACTTTGGGCTGTTCATGCAGGCTGCAACCATGTATGGTGTCAGGCAACCGTAAAATACCATGCCTTCAGTAACAGCCACAAATGTAAATCCAATAAACAGTTCTTTGCATGTTTTGGGGACTTTTTTTTCCCTGTTTTTCTTTATAAATTACATACATCAAACGGACTTTCACAAAAAAGAAACAAAGCCTGTGTAATCTTTCTTCTTCTACTTTCCAAGTCCTCTTTTTCTGAATAACATGGAGGTGCTGAAAAATCTTTCTTCTTCCACAGCCAGGTCCTTCCAATAATTGACCGTAATAATAATCTCCTGCCAACTCTCCAGACACCCTTCTTTCCCCACGTGCTATCCTGAGAAGGACCTCTTTGAAGCACTGAGCTAAATCAGGGGTCTCTTTCCTTTGCTTTACTTACCAGTCGCAGCTCCTTGACCCAAACGCAGTGCAGCGGGACAGGGAAAGGGCAGTTTCATGGCTCCCCTACAGCCTAAATACGCGGCTGTAGCTTTTTGCACAAATACCACTCCCCTACCCAACCATCAGTAATTCCAACTTAATCAGTTGCACTTAAATATGCAGGAATGCTGCAAATGTTTGGTTTTCACATACTGAAAAGAATGACAACTGCATTACAAAAGAAAACATTTTTACCCAAAGCTTACATAGTTTATTCTTCTACGGATCGTATGTGTGCAAAAATCTCTTGTCTAATTAATCGTCCTGAAATTACTTAATAGTGCCACTTAGAGGAGTGGGGACTAATAAGGGTTGAAGCTAAAAGAAAAGCCCGTCCCTAAGTAAAAGTACAAAAGCTTACTGAATTCACTTACTAGCTTCTCTTAAGAAAAAAAATCTATACTATAAATAACTTACGTGGCAATATATAAAAGTCACAAAGTGGTTTACACACCTGCCATTCAATAACTCAGAGAGAACTTCGTGTCTTTGAAATACACCGTAGAAAACTTGTATCAAAAGAGAAAGAAGAAAGTCAGTAAAAATCACCCAGCCACTGAGTCGTCTTAGACTCAAGTACTTGGCGTTTTCACCATATTCTGTTGTAAAACAGAACACACGTTAAATACGAGAAAGATAAGGGATGGTTTAACTACAACACACCGCCTAGCACTGGAAACCCACAAAAATACGTTATTTGTCTATATTAGCTTTCTACCAAATACTGTAAAACACATCTCTCAGACAAAATTATTCACGCTCTCTGCCTCTCTGGAGTACTGTTTGGTGTTTATAAGGACGCACATATATGACTCCGCAGTTGCTCCTCATTAGAGCTGAGAATTGCATGCTGTTTTTTTCCCTCTTCATTGCTTTTATGAATCACCTTCCTGGCCACGCACTTCTTGCCCAGTATGTTTCCCAATGGAGCTCTATCCATCCCTCTGCTTCTGGAAAAGACCGCTGCCTTCTACAGCACGCTACAGGGTGTATTTCTGATCTCACATCTCTTTTTTTTTTTAATATATACATATAAAAACCTTCCACTTCTTGGCACTTTCCTTCCATCCTCTGTTATATTCCCTGTGACCAGGGAAACTTGCAATTTTGTCTCAAGCTCTTTTAGCTAAATCTCTCAGAAAAGTCAACCTTCTGCTGGGCAAGAGTCCTCGTGTGCTCTCAAATTTCTTCTTTGCTGCATCTGCACAGACAGTAACTGGCATGCTATCCCTGCCTTTGTGCTCTCTCTATCATTCATGCAGGACCACGGCCTAATTTCTACTGCGGCGATCCTTCTCGGCCATTACTATTGCAGCACGCACTTTTAAAATTCTAACTTTCCTGAATTTAACAAATAAAAAATACTCCTGTCAATTTTTCTCTCCACCACCTCCCCCAAGGAAACATGTACAGTAACTGGCATGCTATCCCTGCCTTTGTGCTCTCTCTATCATTCATGCAGGACCACGGCCTAATTTCTACTGCGGCGATCCTTCTCGGCCATTACTATTGCAGCACGCACTTTTAAAATTCTAACTTTCCTGAATTTAACAAATAAAAAATACTCCTGTCAATTTTTCTCTCCACCACCTCCCCCAAGGAAACTTCTTATGTCTTTGCTCAGTTTCTACTGATTTATTGGGTTCTGTTAATTATGCATTCTTAAGACTTGCAATCACTTAAGTTCCAGACTGATTTCAGTTGTACCTTTTATAATATTTTTGGGCGAGAACCTTCTCCTCTGCAACATCTTGGTTTTTCTTTCTTTCTGCTGCTGCGTTTATCTTTCATTCTCATGCTCTCTGTCCTTGCGTATTTAATCATTAACTATATATACATTGAAGTACTTTGGGGTATAGTCTGTTTGAAACAGTTTACTCAAAATGAAAGGCTATTGCATTTTAAAACACGTTCTGTCAAAAGACCATATTCTGGATTTGTTTTAAAGAGAGGCTAACATTTATCACACCAGTAGGAGGAATAATTTTACCCTGTATTTTCTAACCTCTTGAACTGTAAATCACAGTCCTAATTACATCAGGTACTCTGAGTATCTAGCAGTGTGAGAAGCGCTTAACTGAAATAATTACGTTTGCTCTACAGTTTTAATTAAACAACCCATTCAGCCAAAACCTAACAGATTAGTTCCTGTTGCTTGCAATAGGTTTTTGAATCACTGGCCGTGAAAACAGTTAACTTTTACCAACCCAACACTGGCAGTCAAGTATGAAGCTAGTTTATCTTTTCATGGGTCTTTCTTAATCCAGAACAGGTCTCACAAACCTCTGTAACCTTTTCAAAAGTACCTCAGAGTGGAAGTAGAAAGAGATCCAAAGATTATTGCAAATGTTTTCCCATCAACGTTACAAATTAATATGTATATCAAAAAATACTAGAACAGAAGGCACATCGGCGTGTGGCAGTTACTTCTAGAAGCCAAAAAGCGTGAAGACAGATATGATTACCATTTTCCGGTATTAATTCCTTCAAGCAGAAGGAAACTAGTAAACTTGAGATTGTTTTTTCTCTATTTAAGACAAAGCCCCTAAATATAGAGATTCCTGACCTTTGCACAACAGCGGAAAACGCAACAAGTTTAATCACTCTTCATCAGGAGTTTTTTTAAATATTATTCTTCTAATCATGAGTCTTTCGTTAAGTTGATTCAGTGACTTGAGAAGTATGAAATCAAGGGAAAAAATGACATCTTAAAATTCCCAGATTTTTGATGCTAAAAGCTTACATTTCCACAAACAAAATTAAATAGCTGTAACATAAATCCTTCTGTGGTAAGAAGCTGAACATGCCAAAATAATTTCCTTCTTACCTCAGCCTTGCGAATACTCTCTCTTGCTTCATCTATTTTCTGCTCCAGTTCTGCTCGGGTTTGCTCAGACATCACAGGCCCGTGGCATTCTAGCTCTTCAAGTGTCTGTCAGAAATAAGAAAACACACCACAGATGTAGTAAATGCTAGCAAGCCATTTACATGATAAATATTTCTGACAAGTCAGGGAAATTATTGTTTGATTAGATGCTGGGTTGACCGACAAAAGTCCATTCCAGGAAAAAAAGACGATGACCAAGGCAAAACACCATTTAAAAGCGCAGTAGTTCACATGAAAATTCCACTTAGAGGAACACTTTAACATCTTCATGAAAACACGGTATGTGGTATGAATCAACTCATCTATCTGTTGATGTTTACATATTTAAAATGGCTATGTTCCTCCACGTTTATGTCAGGTTGAAAAAGAGCATCTTAAACATGGAGCAAGGAGTTGCTAATGGTAGTCCTGCTGTAGGGGAAGCCGAGACAGATTTGCTGCATTTGCAGGAACATTGTGTCCAGAGGAGAATTTGCTGAATCACAGAAGACACATTGGAGTTTCTTAGTTTCCTGTACATGTACGTTGACTGCACTGGTCCAAATTAAAAACAACAAAAGCATGTGACTACACAAATCTTCACCAGTTATCTGCAAATCTGTGACCGGTTCGGTGACTACGTATTTTGCGTTATATACCCTTTGGAATATGTATATCAAAAAATACTAGAACAGAAGGCACATCGGCGTGTGGCAGTTACTTCTAGAAGCCAAAAAGCGTGAAGACAGATATGATTACCATTTTCCGGTATTAATTCCTTCAAGCAGAAGGAAACTAGTAAACTTGAGATTGTTTTTTCTCTATTTAAGACAAAGCCCCTAAATATAGAGATTCCTGACCTTTGCACAACAGCGGAAAACGCAACAAGTTTAATCACTCTTCATCAGGAGTTTTTTTAAATATTATTCTTCTAATCGTGAGTCTTTTGTTAAGTTGATTCAGTGACTTGAGAAGTATGAAATCAAGGGAAAAAATGACATCTTAAAATTCCCTGATTTTTGATGCTAAAAGCTTACATTTCCACAAACAAAATGAAATAGCTGTAACATAAATCCTTCTGTGGTAAGAAGCTGAACATGCCAAAATAATTTCCTTCTTACCTCAGCCTTGCGAATACTCTCTCTTGCTTCATCTATTTTCTGCTCCAGTTCTGCTCGGGTTTGCTCAGACATCACAGGCCCGTGGCATTCTAGCTCTTCAAGTGTCTGTCAGAAATAAGAAAACACACCACAGATGTAGTAAATGCTAGCAAGCCATTTACATGATAAATATTTCTGACAAGTCAGGGAAATTATTGTTTGATTAGATGCTGGGTTGACCGACAAAAGTCCATTCCAGGAAAAAAAGACGATGACCAAGGCAAAACACCATTTAAAAGCGCAGTAGTTCACATGGAAATTCCACTTAGAGGAACACTTTAACATCTTCATGAAAACACGGTATGTGGTATGAATCAACTCATCTATCTGTTGATGTTTACATATTTAAAATGGCTATGTTCCTCCACGTTTATGTCAGGTTGAAAAAGAGCATCTTAAACATGGAGCAAGGAGTTGCTAATGGTAGTCCTGCTGTAGGGGAAGCCGAGACAGATTTGCTGCATTTGCAGGAACATTGTGTCCAGAGGAGAATTTGCTGAATCACAGAAGACACATTGGAGTTTCTTAGTTTCCTGTACATGTACGTTGACTGCACTGGTCCAAATTAAAAACAACAAAAGCATGTGACTACACAAATCTTCACCAGTTATCTGCAAATCTGTGACCGGTTCGGTGACTACGTATTTTGCGTTATATACCCTTTGGAGAAAAAGCAGAAGCATCAGGTGCTAGGACCAGAATCCAGGATGCTCCCTCCTTCCTCTGAGGAGAGTTCTTCCTACCATATTTTGGTTACAGCCTCTTAATGCCTTCCGTCTGGTGCTACAACTTCTGGTTTTTGCTATAGGGTGACTCAGGTTCAGCAGAAGACAGGTAAGATGGTAAACGCCTACTTTGGTCTTGCTTCGCGCGTTCCCCTGGGTAGTTTGAGGAACAGCTCAAATCTCTCAAGACTAAAGTGGAACTAGAAGCCAGGTCCCCCACTTCCCTGGGCTGAAGCTCATTACAGATATTGTAGTATAGACACATCCTCTTTAACTGAATTTCATGTAGTCTGTGCAAGTTAGGCTTGATCTGAGCATGTGAAACAGATGTTTTTAGGCAGAAGTTAGCACAAGAAGTTAGCTTGGGTCCCAGCACTCTCTCCAAACAAAAGCATGAGAGCCTTGCCATAGATGTTTAAGGAACTCGGTGAGCCAAGGGATGCATTTCTGCTGGCTGCTTTTATTTATTCTCACTCCTAGGCAGTCTCAGCTGCATTCTAAAATACAGCCACCTGAAGCCCATTAGGACGTCCAAATACAGCCCTAGGTTCTTCTATGTTGAGCCACATATGTAGAAATAAATTTATCTGTACACAATTAGATTTGTGTCTTCACGTTGGATTTAAGTGCACGTTACTCATGGATTTTCCCAGTGTTGAAAAGACTTGAAATCCAAATTAATACGTTTTTTTTCTATGGGTAATATATATATATACCTGATATAGTGGAGATAAGAGGATCCCTGAAACTTTAGTTTGAACAGAAGGACGCTGTGTAGGATAGAGGTAGGTCTGTAAGTTATTTGCAGTAAAATAGAAGCTGTAACTTCAGACTTACATGGGAATAACACAACGTATTGACGAACCAAAAAGTTTGAGGAGCTCCTAACCTGGCAGTTTGAGTGTACCACGCCAAGAAAGGATAAGATGAAAATGGCAGGTTGCCCAGAGACACAACAGGACAAAAATAATTCCTGGGTGCTTGTAGCAGCTCCTCTTTCATGCAGTGGGGAGCTGCAACAAATAAAATCTGTAAACGAAAGTTCTCCTAACCTACCCGTTGGCTGTGGACGATGTTTTTGTGTTCACGGGCTACCCGAGTAGCCCATTTCCGAGCCTCCTTGTTGAGGCTGTGCTCTTCAGTCGTTCCAGTTTCTGATTCCAGTTGTCGACTCTGGAACAGAAAACAACAAGAGAACGAGTCATGACACAGACCCGGGGCTACCCCTGTAGATATGATGATATTTAGTTATAGGATACCTTTCAATTACATTTATCAGCCTGGGATCTTGTTTCATACAAAACAAGAAGGATTCCACAAAACCACCTCTCTTCCTTATGAACTTTGTGATGGTGCCATGTTGTGGAAAGCCAACTACGACAGCAAATCAAAGTTCAAAAGAAGTCACAACTCACTGTCTCAGGAAAATCAGCGGGACACTGAATACCAGACACAGTTCTAGTGCAGTGAAAGACATTCACGATGAATAAAACTGAAACAGTATTTCACTCATACACTCTATCAAAGAGATGAAGAATAACTAGCCAAGGAAGTCACCTAATTTGTATAATGAACATGCATTATAGGAAGCAAAGAGGAAAGGTTAAGTGTGATCCAACTGGCCACTTAGGCTCATTCTTTGTAATTTCTGATCAAATCATAACGCCATCAAATATTTTACAACAGCACAGCCATTTCTGTCCAAAAAAAAAATTTGTCTGCAAACAGTAACTCAAATTTCAAATCGTATTTTTGGATAGTTTCGTCTCATGCCTGCTTTTATTGTGTCAGTAACCAAAAAAATAATTTCTCCCGCTCCAGAAATGCCAACTAAAGCAAGACAAAGTAGTTCTCTATTGTCTACAGGTTGAACAGAACCCATCTGAAACTCTGAAGACAGACTTCTCAGCATTTAGTTACTGAAATAATTTCCAATCTTTCTATAATTTCCATTACTGCCACAGCAACTACTCTGTGCATTTACATAAATATCTCAGTGTTTAGGATGCAAATCAGTCTCTATCTTTTCACTAAGGTAGGTTTCCTGATATTCCTTCTGTATTTGTGGGTATTCTGTACGCATTTACTGCACATATACTGTGTAAGGATAAGTAACTTAATAATGGTTAAGTTGGAGAGAGTCCAACAAAGGGCCATGAAGATGATGAAGGCTGGAGCATCTCTCCTATGAAGAGAGGCTGAGAGAGCTGGGACAGTTCAGCCTGAAGAAGAGAAGGCTCAGGGGGGATCTCATCAATGTATATAAGTATGTGAAGGGAAGGTGCAGAGAGGACGAAGCCAGGCTCTTCTCCGGGGTGCCCAGTGACAGGACCAGAGGCACAGGAGGTTCCCTCTGAACATCAGGAAACACTTTTTCCCTGTGAGGGTGACCGAGCACTAGCACAGGTTGCCCAGAGAGGTTGTGGAGTCTCCATCCTTGGAGATATTCAAAAGCCATCTGGGCACTATCCTGGGCAACCAGCTCTGGACCAGATGACCTCCAGAGATCCCTTCCAACCTCAGCCAGCCTGTGATTCTATTTTTTTTTTTCTAAGCCAGTCTCATATTCTTCCCATCAGTAAAATTAGCTGTGAGAAGACATTATATTCACCCCACCTTCCCGGGGTGTGCTCCTGGCACAACAGAACAGATTCTTACAACATATGTTTCAGTGGTTTCTCCAATTTAAGTTAATCAATGCTCTGAAGGGGATCCTCAAGAACAACTCCTCTTTCTGGATGACTTGCTGACTCATGCACATCTCGCTACTGAGACAGTCACTGCAGTCCAGAGCCACCCTGCATTCCTTTTTATCACAAGTCCTCTTTGGGCTGATATAATCTTGCACAACCTTTGAGATCAACTGAAAAAATCCCCTTATGAATTATCACTCAAGAGGAGAGAGTATGCTTAGGGCCGCTCAAAACAAATTGAGGTTGTGTACGCACACATGAAAGAAATGACCGTTTCATTAATTTCTCTCTCTCACTCTCAACTGTACGACAAAAGACAAGGATTTTTCTCCATCAGGTGTGGTTTGAAACTAGAGGAGATCCCACAAGCATGCAAAAGTTGTTTAGGAAGGAGAAATTCAAGGTTAGTCAGCAGGAAAAGGGTGAGAAAGCAGGAAGACAAGGAATTATTTTCAGGCTAGGTGAGAAGCCTCCAGCTGATGCAGAAGAAGAGATGGTGTCACCAGGTATTTCAGCAGGCAAACTGGTATGATTTGTGTCAAGGAAGGAAGACAATTTTAATACCAGCATTTGGTATAGTCTGGAGTAAAATCAAAGAGATAGTGGGAAGCAAACCGAAGTGATTTTGAAAGCAAGATTTTTATGCCTTTAGATTACACTGCCCTCATGGCAGAGGCAATAATACTAACTTATGCTAACATCCTATCAGGGGACTTAATTGAAAATGAGGCAAAAATTGGTTCAGCTTGTTATTTTGTTCAGCTAAGCTCCTTTTCATCCAAATTGAATCTGGCCTTTATTCTTACTCATCTTCTTATTACAAGAGAGCTGGGGGTAGCGGATTCGAGGGGTTGTGAAGGAGATGATTTCCAACAGTAGAGGCAAGCGAGGGAAAGGAAGACAACCCCTACACGTACACACGCACTCCCACCACAGGGCTCTGAAATATATCTAGTGCTTCAGGTGACTTCTGGGCCACTTTCCGCCTCTATTTCAAGAAGCTGTAACTCAGCCAAGAAGCTTGCAGTGCTTCAACTTGTCCCTACAGAATGCCTTAAGGCATACATTAACAGACATCAAAAGAGGGGCGGAGGGGAGGTAGCATCCCTGTGTTGCTCACAGTGACCAAAAAAAAACCCCAAGAGGCTTTTACAATCCAGTATGCCTGTGTTGCTCACAGTGACCAAAAAAAAAAAAAAACCAAACCCAAGAGGCTTTTACAATCCAGTATAAGGTGTCAAGATATTTTAGCTCAAAGCCAGAAACAAACATTTCCGTGAAGTTCACCCACTGGAGTGGGACAGAGCCACAAAGCCCGTGTTAATGGTATTTTCAAAGTTAAAGGAACTGTTAGAGGAGGCGTAGAGCAGCCCAGAAGAGGAGGAGGTAAGTTATAAGCACGTGGTTAGCTCTGGCCTGCACAGGTAGGAAGGCAAAGCTGCCTACCAAGCACAGGACAGACAGGTGCAGCTCTCTTCACCCATCCCCTCAGTTTAAATATTAAGTTGGCTTTTGCCTGCTTTTATAGTGAGGTGGCTTTATACAATCATGTTTCTTCATTACTGTTTGACCTCTCCAATTACCTATGTTGAACTACTCTACTAGGTCACTGCAAAACGTAAGAGGACAAACACATGGATTTATTTAGGCACATTCAATCCTTAAGATAACATTTGACCTCAGTTTTTTCCCGGCTTATTAGAGTAAGCATTTTCGTACAAACTCTTCTTCCACAGCTTCCAGCTGAGTCTTAACAGCTGCAAGTCTGAGCAGAATCATTTGACATTGCCTCTCCCCTGTAAAACATCTCGCAATGAATTCTCAATGTTCCCATTGGTCTTGCTCCTACTCAGCATCTCATTTTCATTAAGAAAGAAGACTGACTTCTTTTCAGTCGCTTGATAACCTGCTGCATTATCCCAACTGTGTTTTTGGTTTTTAATCTATTTATCAAAAGCATTTGACCAGAAAAATGAACGCAAACTTTGTGGCTACTCCTAAGGGCATACTAAAAAAGAAATGAATTGTTATTGGATCAGAGTGGTTATATTAGTTATTCATAAAGCAGTATTGTATCCAAGCAGACCTCACCCTTGCTTAAAGGCCTAAAAATAAACAACATAAAAATGGGGTAATAAAAAGAGTTGGGGAAAAACCTAGAGCTGTGGTCTGTGTGGATACCAAAAATATAGGCAAAAGCAGGAGACAAGATCTAGAGGCAAAATTTAGTCTCCTGGAGAAGAAGCTGAAAACAGGGACTCCTAAACTGCACAAACCCAGGGACAGCGGTGGAATACACGGTCTGAATACTTGGCCGAGAAGACAGTGCAAGGAGAAAGGTTTCAAACCCATCAGGACCTGGAACGCTTCCTGAATAAAAGGAGCCGGTATCACAGGGAGGGACTTCACCTGACCGGTAAAAGACCAAGCTGCTGGCGCTTAAGAAGGCTGTGAAGGAACTTATAAGCAGAGGAGCAGTAGCAAGCTGACTGGCATGGAAGAGTATATGCTTCAGGAGAACTTCAAGGATGACTTGAGAAGTCTGCATCCTCAATCAGGTAAAGACAGGCTAGAGGGGTATACCAAGTAAGAAATAAAAAACCCACTGCCATTTAAATAGGTATGAAGAAAGGAGCTAAACCAGAGATTTATCTGCTACAGACATAAAAATCAAAAGTGTAGGGAAGAAGGTAGGGGAACTGAAGCGTCTGGTCCTAACCTGATTTACTAAATCAAGATCTTGCTTAAGTGTTTTCAGGACTGGAACTTGGTGGTGGCAAGACATCCAATGATTCAATTTAGCCTCTTCCAAAAAAGAGGGAAACCAAAACCACTTACCATGGCCAAGGAATGAAGGAAGAGCCAAAAAACCTGAGCTAAACATAGATGGACATTCTGCTGTTCTCTCAGGGTTTGGATTACAGCGAAAGCAGTGTTTAGTGCTAAAAATTCAATCAGTAAACCAAAAGAAAGTACTAGAGGACTCCAACCAGCTAAAGAGCTTAAAGGCTAGCAACGCTGCTTCTTAAATTAACAAATGCATTTAGCCTGTAGACACGTGTCGCTTCTCCATTTTTGTCTGAAATGTTGTTGCAGGTGCAGAACAGCCTTATGACAGGGACAAACACACAGCTTGCATTCTCTTATTTATGCAGTTATATCTGGATGCAGATGGCACATGTACAGTTTTAAGAACAGAAGAAGTTGGCTCTCAAGCCTAAAAGCTCCTTATTTTTGTAGCTGAAGACTAAAAAAGTTCGCTTCAACAAAGGAAAAAAGTAGTAAACATTTATTGCATGCAAATCACCAACACAGAACACACCTAAAAATCACAGCCATTTCTTTTAAAGAGGTGAAAATAAGAGGTTACCATGCCAGTGTTGAAAAGCAAGCTCAACCTTATGATCAACACTTGCTGGGGAGGAGGAAGGGATATGCATGACATTTTTCACACAATTGATAGCTAAACACAGCAGTTAT